CCCATTTCAAAATATGAATGTTCAGACAATCTGTAATTAATGTTGATTATATAATGGCAATGAAATAACTTCATCGAACCATAAGGAAATTACATTCCACGACAAAGTTAAAAATCTCTGTGTTGGCTGGTGTCCCTTTCGCTGCTCCCCATCATCCCCATTTGTCTCGTTATGATGTTTCTATTTGTTTTGTCTTGCTACCCTGAGTTTTTAGATAGGACAGTAGTTGCCAGATGACATCTAATGGATGGCTTGGGTAAATTTTAAGAATTCACTCGCTTGTAGTACACGTGTTTGGAGGAAACATGCAGTTATGTAATTTTACAGCAGTGAAGGCTTGGTTGATAATTCTATTTAACATTCTTTATCATACCTTGTAATGTAAAGTTATGTTTGTAAACTGACGAGTATTTGTCTTTATTGATGGCACATTTTCAGTCGTAAAGGCTTATGTGTCCATATTGGCTAATAGCCCTATAAAGATAAGTACGTGTTTTTATCTGACCACAGTAGCTGTTACTCTTTGAGATACCTTAACGGGCTCATTGTTTTTTTGCCTTGAATGGACTGCACTGTGTTAAGAGTTTAGGGTAAATGTTATGGAATGTCAGTTGACGTATTGTAAGGCATGTAATAGAAAGCTTGTCCAGTTTATTTATCATTGTTAAGTTGGTTGCGGGGACCGCAACCGTTTTACGGAGGAAGCATGTTGGCTGGTGTCCCTTTCGCTGCTCCCCATCATCCCCCTTCCAGCGTCTCTACAGTGCGGTTTGAACCTAATTTGCAAGTCAGATTAGTGACGAGGCAGGAAGGCATTGTTTGTGCCCCTCCCCCTCTCGGATGACCCCATGTCTACCTGGGTGAGGAATGCGGCGGTGGGGGATCAGGACCGATAAGACGGCCGATGCGTTAGGTAGAGATAGAAAGGAGAAGGTTTTTTTGGTGTAGCTTGGAGAGAACTTTTTATACGTAAGTGTGAGACATTTTTTATTATTATACAATCTGTCAAACGGTTGATATCTTAAGTTAATACTGATGTTATTATTGTCAGAAAGTTTTAATTATATTATCAGATCTATGTACCAAATAATTAGATATGATTTAGGCATTAGCCTTAAAGAACCGCCTAGTTGTAATGTACCTACGTTTTATCCGGCCGAGTGGCCTGTTAGAATTCCAGAATACACGTTACTGCATATTAAGTTAGACCTGTTCTAATTATATTGTTCTGTTACAGCGTAAATTGCTGTCGGCCTATTTTTGTTGGGTTTTTTACTTGGATTGAATAATCATTTTGGTTTATTTTTCTTCGAGTTAAGTTTTACATTTTAGTTAATTTTTGTGTAGGTTTATTTTAATTTAGTTGTGGAATAAAGTACCTCATAGTTACCCGACTTGACTTTATCTTTTCTTAGTCTAGTTTAGTTTGGTTTGTCTAGGTTTAACAAACCCCTTTGACAACGAAGGGCACGGATGAGTGAATGAGATCACCTCTCGGTTCTCCCCTTACATCTGTTTTAACATGTTTGCTATAATGAAGTATGATGCCTCCCATGAATACGTCAGTCGAAATAATATGAAGCATGAAAGATGTGTATGTGTAATGGTTTCTCGCCCTATGTTTATTTTTATGTTTTTTTTTAATTTATATTAGTTTTAAATACATTTCATTTTTATGCTTTGCCATTCTTTAATATGTATTTTTTTAAAAATAATAATTAAGAGAAGTAATTGCTTTTTAATATGTTTAGTGCAAATCTATTAAAAGGTGCTTAAGAGCACACATATTTGACTATTTAAAAAAGGGAAATAAGTCATGGAAGTGGTTTGAACGTTTGCGTATCTTTCACGCGATGGATTTATTTTCAAAAGAATTTTGCCGACAACAGCGTGTGTTTGATTGTAGGAGAAAGAAGACTTGAGATGGTGTCTATAGAATAAAGATAATCCAACCTCAGCTTCAGTATTCTTTTACAAAACAACCATCAAGTCAATAAACCGGGAGTGATCTCCCCTAAACATTCTTGAATATTCTTATATAAAATAACAGGGGATGGGAACTCGGGCTATAGACATGATTTTTAATCCATTTTAAATACTTAAAGTTTTAAAAATAGAATAAAATCTCGTAGACAAATTAATTCCACACCAAGTGAACGCCAAATAAAAAAGCGCATAATGGTGCGCAATATTATTATTACTTTTAAAATTTACATTAGTTTTTTGAGAAATCGGAAGTAGCGTAAAGTACTACTTTCAGTCAACGGAAATGACTCAAAATTAATAGAAGGTAGAGAATTAGATCTTTTACTTACATATGAAATTTCATTTATCTATCTGAAATAGTACTCAAGTTATAGGCTTTTGAAAAATTCAAAGTAGGAAAAGTACCACTTCCGGTTATCGGAAATCGCTCAAAAGTTGATATGGATCTACGATTTTGATAAAATACTTATATATGAAATTTCATCAACCTAGCTGTAACGGTACTCAAGTTATCGTGTTTACACACGGACAGACAGACACACAGACAGACACACAGACAGACACACAGACATACGGACTAGATTGCAAAATTATGTTTTTCCGTATCAGTGAGGTGTGAAACGTCGAGATTTGTAAAAATCTCGATTTTTTTTATTTATTTTTTGCACGATTACAAGACTTTCTCTATACTTCGTATATAAGAGAAAGTAAAAATGCAAGAAGATTACTTTTTTTTAACTGTAAAAAAATTGATTTTGGTCGGCTGCGGGCCCCTAAATGTCCCCCCCCCCCCCTCCCCCGCATTGCGGGGTCTGGCGGCACTGTAGTTCCGCCCCTGACATAGTTAGCGAAACAACTCAACATTACATGCATTTGTATTATCACTGATCGAACTTTTATACTAAGTTCATTTGTTAGCCAGACATCAGATCTAAACAATATAAATCCAATCATACATGATATAAAACAAGAAGCTAAGACGCTAGCTTACTTTTATCTATAAGGATATGGAAATTATAGTAACAAAAATAAAGGGCCAAAATCAATGTCAGATGTCATTGCCAAATAGTATTACAAATTTGACTAACAACTTCATTTCATATCAATACAGTCCCAAAGATCTTCTTAATTTGTTGATTTTATAATCGGCAGGGAAGTAAATCTGCCAAAGTGAGAGCGGTTGACGTTTTGGTTTGTTTCTGTTTTTACTTTCTCGTATATTACAAAGTAAAGAGAAAGTCTTGTAATCGTGCAAAAAAATATAGAGATTTTTGCATATCTCGACGTTTTAGGGCTCCCTGAGTCGGAAAAATATAGTTTTGCAATCTTGTCCGTATGTCTGTGTGTATGTGTGTTTCTGTGTGTGTGTGTGTGTGTGTGTGTATGTGTGTAAACACGATAACTTGAGTACCGTTACAGCTAGGTTGATGAAATTTCATATATAAGTATTATATCAAAATTGTAGATCCGTATCAACTTTTAAGCGATTTCCGATAACCGGAAGTGGAACTATTTCTACTTTGAACTTTTCAAAAGCGTATAACTTGAGTTCTATTTCAGATAGATGAATGAAATTTCACATGTAAGTAAAAGTTGTCGATCTCTGCCTTCTATAAAATTTTCCGTCGACCGAAAGTAGTAATTTACGCTTTTTCCGATTTTTCAAAAAACGCATGTGAATTTATAAAGTACTTATAATATTCCGTACTATTATGCACATTTTATTTGGCGATCACTTGGTTTGCAATTCTTTTTTTTAACGAGATTCTATTCTATTTTTAAAAGTTTAAGTATTTAAAATGGATTAAAAATCATGTCTATATCCCGAGTTGCCATTCCTTCTTTTTTTAAATAAGAATATTCGAGAAAGTTTTGGGGAGATCACTCCCGGATTATTAAACATCGCAATGCATAATTTTTTAACAAATATCTTTGTTTTAAAAGTTTCCAAAAAGGCTTTGCTGAAAATGGCCAGTACAACAACATTCATCAAGGGGTCATTCACAAATGACGTCACGCTTTTTTGGACGATTTTTACCTCCCCTCTCCCCTCCGCCACGCATCGTTACAAAAAGCCAGACCCCCTCCCTCAAAGTGAAGTTACACCTCAATCTACAACCCCCCTCAAGATGGCTGTTGAATTTATTTTCTTAAAACATCGATATTTTTCCAAAATCTTGTCAGAACTATGTCAACATTATTTTGATCAATTTCTATTACAATTTATTAAAACCGTTTTGTAAAACGCGAAATAACGGTTCAAAATTTGTTTTCTAACATTGCGTTTTTATAATGCAAAGTTGTGACGTCACACTATCTGAACACCCCCCCCCCCTCCCCCTCATCACACAAGGTCACAAAATTATGGAACCCCCATTCCCCCTACGAGTGTGACGTCATTTATGGACGACCCTCAAGGCATTCTAAAAGCAGGAATTTTGCAAAATATGGGATCAGGGATAATCCACAAATTACGATACACATTTGTGTCGATTGTTGCCTCTCCTCCCTAAATTTTCAATTTACTTTTAAACATCGCTTTCTTTCTAGAATATTTACTAAGCTCGGCCAACAATCAATAGCGCCTATCTTATAATACAATTTACAAAAATAGCTATCTAAAACGCGAAATAACGGCTACAATTAAAAGCGCAACAGTGTGACGTCACATTTTCTGAAATTCCCCCTTCCCCTCTCATCCTACACCGTCAGTAAATTCCGTTATTGGTGGGGGGTTTTTTTTATGTACGACCCCTTAATAAACCAAGCAGTGTTATCTAAAACTGTATACTATTTTCCACTCTTTTGTCATAATACATATCAACATGATAAATCCGAACTTTCTCATTTTATACTCATTACTATAATACATGTTCTAGATCTATAGATCTAGAATCTAGATCTAGATCTATGTGTTTGTAATTATAGTTTATGCCAGGTTACCAGGTCTAAATATAGATCGACATCTATTTCAAATCTTATCTAGGTCAACCGCCGGCACTTACGCGGGCCAAAAAAGGAAGTGACAATCCAGCCCACACAATCGTTGCCATCTTAAATTTTAGGCGTGTAACATGTGAGTCAGTTTTTTGTTTAACTGTTACATCTAGATCTAGATCAGGTTCTTAACTCATGTTATTTAATCAAATTTATTACACATTACGTAAGACTAACTATTTCTACATAAGTCATAAGATAATGTAATTTTTAGAATTTTTTTTTTCTTTTGTTGGCAACGACAACGTGATATTTCAAATGGTTTTCCAACTCTAGAATTGTAGAATCTAGGGCATAGGCCTAGAATTCCTAGATTATTTGCTAGATCTAGTTTTACCTCCCTCTACAATCTAGATCTAGATTCTAGATAAGTGGTTCTTAACTAAACTCAAACTGGGTTCGATAGTACTCAGGCCAGGGGTTCAGTGAATCAGCCTCTCTCATGGGTTCGGTGAAGATCAAGTGTCATGACACACAGGTCGACTCAGATTCTCGATGGGATTTTGTCATTGCGGACGTAGAATCTAGATTTAGATCTAGATCTAGACAGATCAATGTCTAGTCTAGAATCTAGCATTTCTAGATAGATCTAGATCTAGATCAAGATCTATAATTCTAGATCTACTTTATTCTGTGTATAAAATCTGAATCTAGATCTAGAGTCTAGATCTATGTATTTTTTTAATATTAATCTAAATCTTGATAAGTCTAGTCTAGATTAGTAGATTCTAGATTCTATATCTTTGTAACATTTTGGCAAAAGAAAAATAACTCATAAAAATCTATCTAGATTCTAGAGTCTAGATTTACCCAGAAGCTCTTGACTGAGTTTTCAAATTTTTGTATTTACCACCTGTCTCTTTTTAATTTAATTATCATTAGGACAAAACCAATCAACAATATAAACAGGCTTATAAATTCTATAAAGTTATATGTTTTGTTTTAATTATCATACATAAACATTTTAGAGAGACTTTAAAAACAAAATTTACTATACTAGATCTAGATCTCTATACACTGTATAGAGTAAAGTTCCACGCGCAGTTAAAACACCGGTGCGGTCATCGCCTGTTTATCGCTTCGTACAATATTTGTTTTGATGTTTTATACAAAACTACCGATATCTGCTGTAAACCTGTCCATTTCTAAATATATTCAGGTCAAATTCTTTTGTTTTTCTCCTTCTGGAAGTCGAGTTTTTAAAGTTTCGAGGTATGACGTCGAAGGCGATTCTAGTTCCCCGTATGAAAAATACTAGGTCCCGGATGAGATGAATAAACCAACCAATCAAAGCTTTTTATAACTAGGTTAACTATAAATAGCTTTTACAATATGTGCGGGACACTGTACATACGATAGATTAGGCTAATAAAGCAACCTGATAGGTGAATAGGGGTGGCCGCAGCTTGGGTGTCGATTTGGGTGGTTTCACCGCGCTGCGTAACCAACGACTTGAGCTAGACTAGCCTAGTTCTAGATGCTCTACATTTCAAGCTAAGCCTAGAATCTGTATAATTTCTATTTTTTTCTGCTGTTTTAAATTATTTCGATCATCTACTTCTTCTAAATCTAGTTTGTGTCTCTACATACAAGCATATCTAAGCAAATGTTACGTTATGTCTTGTCAGTGGTTGTTACGTCCCTTTGTTATGATTATTATAGTTGCGTCCCTTGAGTCATCACTGGGTCAACTTTTAATGTCGTTAATTAATTTAATTAACATGTTTTTAATTTGGTTTTGAAATCTATTAATTAATAATACAATCAACAACACGTTTAAAAGTGTAAAATATTTATTTTATTTATTAAACTAGGATTAAAACGTATAAAACACGATCGTTACGCAAGCCGGTTCAGATGGCCGCAGGGAAAAAAAAGAGGGGAAAAAAATATCGCAAGTAGCACGTCACTAAAACATGAATATCTCAAATTCAATGCGTAGGAATATAAAATGATTGATACATATTAAGAGTAGAAAGGCAGAGGAATAATATAGTACTTTGGGTTTGTTTCTGTGTTAAACGGTTACAAAATAGCGCCCGATGAAAGTCAATGAAAGTCGGGAGTTCGCTATGTGTGATCGCGCGTGGAACTTTACTCTAGTAAAGTAAAGAGAGCTAGTCTAGATATCTAGAATCTAGATCTAACTACTGCTTTAAAAAAAATTAAAGTCAGGCTGAATTAAATTTGACAAAAAATTACCAATGAATTTTATATAAAATACTTAAAAAAAAACTTTTTAAAAAACCACGTTTTTCTTGTGGACTAAAAAGTAGAAAATAACTATTTACATACATTTGATGACAAAAAACGTGGGTACGTTCACCATCAAATTTCCCGACCCATCTGCCCGACCCACGTTTTTTGTCATCAAATGTATGTAAATAGTTATTTTCTACTTTTTAGTCCACAAGAAAAACGTGGTTTTTTAAAAAGTTTTTTTTTAAGTATTTTATTTTCTTCTTTTTAGTCCGTTGCTACACATGAAAAACGTGGTTTTTAAAAAGTTTTTTTTATATAGTTTATTTTCTACTTTATCTAATCACTTGATTAAGTATGACTTGACTAAGTGTTTTTAAATACACGGACTAAAAAAATCTTGAGCGACCGATACGCTTTAAACAGAGAAAGGGTGTAATTTACGTTGCTGGCGTGGAGATCTACTCACGAATCACGTGATCAAATCTCCCATAAACAAACAAATAAACGCGAAGCTGCGTTAAGGAAAAACGTGTTTATGTGTATTTTAGCATGCCCAGCGTACCAACCGTGTCACCGTTAACAATGTGTTACCGTGTCCGTTCTCCTTTTTAGTCCGTTGCTACACATAAAAAACGTGGTTTTTTTAAAAGTTTTTTTTAAGTATTTTATTTTCTCCTTTTTAGTCCGTTGCTACACATGAAAAACGTGGTTTTTAAAAAAGTGTTTATAAATACACGGACTAAAAATCTTGAGCGACCAGGATTCGAACCTGGGTTGTCGCGGCCACAACGCGAAGTACTAACCACTATACGATCACGGCCAGCGCGCTCACATCGATTGGGGCCGAAGTAACTGTGTCAATAGGCCTCAAGTCTTGTCGGTATCTTTAGAAATCATGTCCTCAATTTTATGGTCCTTGGGGCGTAATTAAATTAAGCTAATTACGGTCACTAATTGCTAGTTTTTATGATTGCATCTGAAATTGTTAGGCGAAAGTAGCATGCATGCCAAATTTCAGGTCTCTCGAGCAATCAGAAGTGGGCTAATTTTCGATGTCAATTTTAACAACAAACAAACAAACGCGAAGCTGAGTTAAGAAAAACGTGTTAAAAAGTAGACCACTTACTGCTTATTATCTTTGATTTATTTATAACTTCAGACATTTTTCAATAGTTTCAACTTGGTTAGCATTCCAATCTATTGGTTTTTGTATATCCCACTGCTCACTGCACTAGTGTTAAGACATGTAATGCATGGGTCGCTGCCTAATACAAAACATACCTTTACCAACAACAGCGTTGCTGGTGCAATATTCTATGTGAATATGAATATCTTCCCAAAATGTGTTTTTCTTACATCACTTGATATGTAAAAAATTTACTAGATCTCCTAGATCTAGATTCTATATCAAATTATTATACATCTAGCTGTAATTTCACTTTTTTCTTTTTTTAAAAAAAAAACATGGTTTTATAGGACACAGGCAAACATGATACTGCTATTTAAATGTATGATTTATACTATTTATATTATGATTTATCATTGGCCTACACTCATCATTATTGCTTTTCACCAGTAGTTAAAGCATTGTGCAAGCTAGGATTGTTTGTGAATAAATGGCTACCTTAAAATACATCACCTTATAGCATAATACCAAAAAATGCAATCAGCCTAGTTATAAAAGTATTGGAAGTCAATTAAAACATATACCCTCTACACTGGCCTATACATATTGGAGTCTAGGGTAGGCACTTTCAGACACTACCATTAATCAGTAACAATATCATTGGTTGGAGTTTTTAAAGTAACATTTGGTTTTAACTTAAACTAGTATACCATACATTTACACAACTAATGTTGTTGATACTTGGTTTAGGTTTTGTGTTACTTTTGAATTTAATGGTTGATGTATCATTAGGTTTATAATAGTACTCCTTATAGACCTACCAAGTTAATGTAGCTTTAGCTAATTAACACGAAAGTGTTCTAAGTAATCTACCCATCTGTATATAGTTGTAGTAGGGTGGTTTATATCTTTAAATATATGAGACTCTTCACCTGGTGTCATATCTGTAACAATGTTAAATAACAATTATGTTTTTGTTTCTATTTTAACAAAATGGTAGCCTATTATTATTATGAATAGGAAATGTTTAAAATCAGTGTTATTATTTGTTGAAATCTACAGTCATTGATATTCTAAAGTTAATATTCAAATTAATATTGTAATGATTTTATATAATACATTTTACTCAATACTAATAGATGACTACACAGAGACAGGCTATCTTTTCTTAGATATAGTGCAAATTAATGACTTAATAGTAATTAATCACATATATAATAGCAATAGTAGGTTTATAAGTATTATATTATAAGTAAATAGTTAGGCTTGTTACTGTAGTAGGCTACCAGTATTAAAGTACATATTTACAATTTAATTAAATTGTTTTAAAAATATTTAATTTATAATAGAAGAGATGGTTAGATTTATTAGTATTTAATACCTGAATAGTACTGCTCTCTTTTTAAGCATAAAGCTACATTTGGCAGTAGAGTAGAGTTTAAATGCTTCTTGACCTCCGCATATGTAGGATGGTGTGGTCAGCACTATATTTTCCCAGTTCTCTTTACTTTCCCCAATTCGAGTCAGGTACCCATTAGAGCTGGTTGGACTCAGGGAGTCCTACAGTCTAGGGTCTGGACCAAGTTCTGAACGCTCTACCAATACCAATGAGAGTAGTTGCCTGCGTACATTATTCTATTAGGGCCTCAATCTATTTATTGATAAATGACTACCATTTCCTTAAAAATCAGTGGATATTTTGTTATTGATCTGTGCTTACTTACTTACTCTGAATCAAGAGGACCTATATTTTTTCATAAAATACACCTAGGTAGGCTAATACTTAATACTATTGGTTAAAAGTCACTTTCGTCAGTGAACGATCTCACAAAAAAGCATGTAAACACATGACGAGTCGCTCACACTTACTTCCGTTGGCCACGTACTCTACATTCACGCAATTTCATGTCAATTACAATATACATAAACATACCTAATAAAACAGTCTGTGACACGTCCCCCCTTCAAATAAAATTTTGTGCAACAAAATTTACAAAGTACAATACTGGTAGGGCAGGATCATGTGCCAGACAACCAAAAAAAAATTTTTGTGTACATCTCAAAAGTAGAGTTAAATACATTCATTGTAGACTAAACACTGGTAGTCATAAAGTTATGGTACAGCAAAAATGCAACAGTATGTCAATGTAGTGACTATATCACTTACCAGATAATTGCTAGATTATCAATTGAAAAAGTTGTATGACAATATGTTTAGTTTGATTCAAAGTGCGTAAAATGTTTTGAAATTTTAAGTACAGTGGCTCAAATTACAATCAGCTTGTTCATACACAGAACCTCAACAAAATCAATTACTGATTTAAACCTGATAATTAAAATGTGTCAGTGTTTTGAACAAAAACTTTAAATGCACAAGCATTATGTGTAATATTTAATACATCAATATATATTCAAATAGGAAACAAAAAAACATTTCAATTACCCAGTAACTGTAGTATAAACAAGACTACATCAATTGGGTTCAATAAGTTACCAAACTAATCTGGTACAGGACTTAATTTCAAATTCATAACACAGTTGAAATACTCAAAGACTTAATTCAACTCATAAATTAAATAATTATGTCCTATTTATTGAAAAAAAAACATTCCTTATCATCAAAGCATTCTATCACCACGCTTGAGTGATTTTTCCTGTTGTCTCCCCTAGTTGACCCATTTCAGTCACATCTAGGTCACAACACAACCACATTCCTGCCTTCCACAGGTAATGACAAATACACAATTCATCATTGAGACTTCCGTCTCATTGTTATGCGGAATAAATAGTCTCTAACTTTTATTTGTTTACATTATTCACTGTTAATTAAGAGTATAGGTTTAACATAATACAGTTTACATTCTTTTGAAATAGTACACAATTTATATTTACTCAAACAAATTATTTGATATCCATATATTACAGTCACAGACTGTATAATATTAATAAACTGTCAATTGATAATGTATTATTATCACCAATATATTCATTATAAGTGTTGACTTATGTGCTTTAGGATAGGATCAGTTTCTGTTTCTTCTTCTTCGTTCGTAATTATTAGTGTTGAAGGGGATCGAGATTTATCTGCCAGTGGGTTTGAACTCGAGACTTTGTTCGAATTCATCAACCATGAGCTTTTTGCCGACTCGACCACGCCTCCAACACAATTAAGCGTTACGTGTCAACTGGTTATGCGCCATTGAGGCCATTGACTCCGATTTCAGCCTGCTTTTCTTTTTGGATTTGCTTCCATAGCCTTTGTCCAACCAAGAACAAACTACAAGGCAGCAGCAGTTTAATTTTGGTGTTGTCTCTCCTAAAAGAGTGGCTGTCCCCAGCTAACGAGCCTCATCTGCCCGAAGTTTCTGTTTAATATTAGCATACTTGCTTAACTCTATAGCATGAGTAATCTTAATCGTTCTTGTGTAGTTGACGATAACCTGTTTGCCATCTTTCTTCCTTTAAATTGTATGTGTAGCTTCTAGCCCTGCTACCATAATGATTTCCTAGATTTCGTGTAACTTGTCTTACTTCATTTGTTTTCATATTAGGTTTTTCTTGACCATTATCCTTATTCTCTTTTGGTTTCTGAACGACCTCAGTAGTTTTCTTAATTTGTGTTCGTTCTCTTGGTTTATCAACCAACTTAATACATATATTATAGCATTGCCTTGGCCTCTCATAATATGTCTTGGTTCGGTATCTCTCATTAGTATACTTGTTCACACTATTATAGTTCTGATCAGAACTTGATACATTCTTTCTTAAATACTTGATGTTACTGTTTTTTCCACATGACTTTCTTTGTACATAATTGTTTCTTCTCTGATTTGCCAATCTATACCAGCTTTGATCTTGGTAATGACCTGTTTTACCTCAGTAAAAACATCTAGATTTTGGCTTCTTATTAACATGGTGACTGTATTCATAGTTTGCTAAATTTCTTTTACTTTCATTCTAAGCATTAATGACATTAATGACATTCTTATTAACATGGTGACTGTATTCATAGTTTGCTAAATTTCTTTTACTTTCATTCTGTGCATTAATGACATTGTAGTTTCTAGTTATTGTTTCATCTTTCTTAACTTCCTTGTGCTTCTTTATTGATTCTAATTCACACATAAATTTCTGGGTTAATTTCTCCATTTCTTTGTTAAATTTATTCTTAAGTTCTAGTATATCTTCTTTATAATTTGACTCTAATTTTCTTAGTAAGACTTCTATAGGTACTTTATCTTCATTGTGGCTTATCAAGTTCACTGATTCATTAATTATCATTAGTTTATCATGATTCCTGCCATTCTCCGATGGACTTATTAAATTATCACTGGCATTCACTGATGGACTTATTTCTTGTTGACTGCCATTCTCTGATGGACTTACAATCATGATTCCTGACATTCTCTGATGGACTTATTAAATTATCACTGCCATTCACTGATGGACTTATTTCTTGTTGACTGCCATTCTCTGATGGACTGACAATCAATACAACTTTTAATAATATTCTCAGTCAATAAGAGTCCATCTTAAGACATTCTAATGTATCTCTCACCTTGAATTCATTATTCAGCTCACCCTCTGTTTTATCTTGGGTTTCAATTCATCCTGGACTATGTTACTTTGTTCTTCATTCTTAAGGTTGTCAATATTCACTTCTTCAAGTTCAGCTTTAAATTCTGCCTGTTCACTTTCTAATTTTGGTTTATCTATCTCAGCATCTAATTCTCTCATTACTTGTTCATGGACTAGTCTAGCCTTCTCTTTTTCTTCTTCTTCTTCTTCTGCTTTTTTAATTTTCTCTTTTTCTCTTTCTTTTTTAAGTTGATTGGTTGCCCAGGCTATGCTGTCTTCTGAACTCAATCCGCTGCCCTCCGCTATACATACTAATTCATCAAAAATTGACATGCTTTGTATTTCCTTAGTTTTAGCCCTTTTATTTGCTCTCTGTTTTCTGTTTCTTTTTTTCCGCTTTCCTTTTGGTTGTACAGTCTCCTCTGCTTTATCTACTTTTGACATTTCTTCTTCTTTTTGCATGTGTTTTAATAAAAGTTGTAAGGTACTTTCATATCGGTCTGGATTCTCTCCCATATTATATTCCCATACTTCCTTCATGCAGGCCAATTTTTCTCCATCTAGTTTCATTCCTAGTTTCTCACCCCCCTGTATAAATGTTGCAAAACCTGACATTTTTATAATGTTACTCTTCCTGAAATAATCAATATTAATCATTTGTTACATAAAATGTAAATAAATAGAATTATTAGTTTACAATTTGTATTGTGATTAATGTAACACTACCCTTTCTTGGATTCTGGCTGGTCAGTTGACATCAGACATCTGGTAATCCATGAAAAGTTCATAGTATATATATACGTCCAAAAATAGTAACGTTCACTTTGTTAATGTAAGCCCTGCTAGGGGGAGATACCTTAAAATCTATCTAACTGTCCGGTTCAGTGCAACCGTGGTGAAACTCACGGTGGTTATATCTTATCCTTAGTCTAAATAATATACTAAAATAAAACAAAAACTTTAACAGTTAACAAAATTTATTTATCAAAATTAAGGAACCAATGGAAAAATCACAGAAAAAGAATAGATAAAAACTGACACAAAACAGACAAAACAAAACCAAATTTTATATTTTTAGAATAAATGCTATAAAAGTTGCATATCCAGAGAACTTGAAAATAATTTGTTGAGTTTAAGGCTACATTTCTATTTATTTTCAGCAAGCCTAAGTTATAACCGGATGTTTCACTTTCGTAAGACAAATATTGATTGGCTGTACAGTAACTTAGTGATCGATAACTATTTGTTTACAAAACTTTGCAGATCAAGTTTTTAAATAACAATGCAAATTTAAAACCCCATGACCTAGTTTTCTATTTTTAGCTTACAATGTGTACAATAAAATCAATGGCGGCCTATCAAATAGCAGGATGCCATTGTTTATGTCGCCATTACACGTGAAAACCAAATTGTTTTTGCTTTTTTTTTTTAAATTTTTATTTAGTTACCGAAAATATTATAAACATCAAATACATCCAATCTTTAGTAAAGTCCGAAAAAAACCAGACAGACAGGATTTTATAACCATATTAATTGTAACTACGCTGTGCATGATTTTTAAATGAATTTATACACCTCTCAAATACCTTTGAGACTTTTCTCGCTGGTGTCCATTACAATATACATAAACATACCTAATAAAACAGTCTGTAACAGACTCCTTTAGAGATAATCAATAAAATGAAGCTCAACAAGATGGGGGGGGGGGCGTGAAGGAGGTAAATCATGTTCACTAAGGAGACAAGAACAAGAACTATGAAGTATAGTTAGGTCTACTTTTTAAGATGTAACTTATAAAATAAATCTACTTGTACATTAAAAGAGAAGTTACTTTAAAGTGGGGTCTGGCTGAAGGACACCATCTTATGGAGTAGCTTATGTGATGGTGTCCAAAAATGTGTGACATTATCTATGAACGACCACTTAGATATGTAAATTTTGTAGCTGTAGTGATCCAGCTGTCACTTTTAATAGTCTTAATCGTGATACTAAACGCTCTCAGTTTAATTTTATGATTTACTTAGTACAAAGTAGATATGTTTCAATAATAAATAATTAATTTTAAAAAATGTGTTGTTTTTTTTTTTTACAGTGTAGAAAAAAAAATTCCAGTATCATGGCAGTGGATAACAAGCTAGCTGTTGACATTATCAAAAGTGTGGGCCGTTACTGGTCAGACAATGAACACAGCGACTGTAGAATTACTGTGGATGGCAAGGTGTTTCAGGCCAGTAGCTTCGTTCTGAGCGCTTGTTCAGAGTTTTTCAGGCAAGTTTTTCACACTGCGTCTATCACACACAAGAATATCGTCATTAAGGGGATCAGTGCTGATGTGTTTAGCTGTGTCATCAAAGCGTTGTTTACAGGAGTTACCGGCCTTGATGAATCAAATATGGTTGATGTATTTCTTGCTGCAGGTTATCTGAAAATTGATTTTTTGGTCCAGAAATGTGAGCAGTTTATTGAAGAACATTTGACCAAAGAAAATTATCTTCAGCTGTGTAAAGGACTTTTCTGTGTTAGCTCTGTCACTCTTACCAACAAAATGGTCAGATTGATGGCTTTAGATTTTGATGAGTTTAGACTGACAGAAACTTTCTTAAACCTGCCATCGGTAATGGTTATCAAAATTGTAGAAAGTGGAGAGGTCAAATCTCAAGACACTTTAGTTGAGTCGGTGCTAAAATGGGCCAGTCATGGACCTAAAGATGTCATCGGGACATTCGGTTTTCAGTTGTATCATGACTTCCAAGATCTCATGGATTTTTGTGTACCTTTTGACTTCAACAGATACCACCTGTATCAGTTTGTGGCCAACGACGTCACCAGGAGCCAAATTCTTGTTCAGTTGATCAAGAAGATGAATCTTGGTGAACTCAGTGAAGCTGGCCTGAAGATGATCTATGAAGACAAGCTGGCTATAGAACATCACGATGTTAAGGATGCCGTCATGCATGAAATGGCAACCAGAATGCTGTACAAGTCGGATAATAAAAGTGGTCGCAGTTTATCAAAATGCACAACCAGTGGACAGTCAAAATGATTCACTCCCTAAAGAAGTTGGCTTGCAAGAGTTGGAATCTTATGATATTTTCAAAATTCCTGAATGGGTCGTGGCAGGTTACAACAGGATACAAAACACTGCCAATTTAGACCCAAAATTAGTTAAAGTCAAAAAATACTCTACTGAACAAGTAGTTGCTTTTTTAATTGATAATACTTTTGTTGTATATTCTTTTAGTTCAGAAATTTGTTATAAATTAAGTGAAATAGAATGCAATATAAAACATTTCTATGTTTTTGAGGACAACATTTTTTTTTTAGCTTTACTAATAAATTAGATGGGACTTCAGCAGTGCAAATTATAAGCCCAGATAATTTAGTTTTAGTATTTGTAGGTAAAAATGATTATGCAACCAGCAGCAGATTAAAATACTATATGGCTTATCCTTATATTTATAAATTTCACTTACACAATACAGATTTGATTATATAAAGGACAAATATGAGAGAATATAGAGAAGATCAGTGGACTATTTTTTTAAATTTATCCATATCTACATCCAAAGATTGTTAAGTAATATTTTATCATTCCATCATAAAGGGAAATAAAATCGTATTTTTTGTGACAGGCGATGTGACAAAAATTATTTATTTTGACGTTAAATTACGAGAACTTCATGAGCTGTACAGCGTGGATGGTGAAATGGCCAACTTTAAAATCTTCCAAAAATGTGAAGGCTACTACCTGTTGCTGGGCAATGGTCAATTGTTTGAGATTGTGATAAACGATACAGTGACTATTGTATTCCGACAACAGCTGTGGAGGGGTACTTTGAACCTACATGGGGCAGTGTATTACTGTGTTTTGTTTGTGTTCACTGACACAAGAGCCAATGTAAAGAGGTGTAACATAGATTTTAGACTAAAAATGGTTGTTGTTGACTCATTTGTTTGTGTTCACTGACACAAGAGCCAATGTAAAGAGGTGTAACATAGATTTTAAACTAAAAATGGCTGTTGTTGACTCATTTGTTTGTGTTCACTGACACAAGAGCCAATATAAAGAGGTGTGACATAGATTTTAAACTAAAAATGGCATTTTAGTTTTCTTAAATCGAGTATTTACCTGTCTATGTAAACGACTAATAAAACTTGATTTAATTATTATTGTATACTTTTGTAAAACTATGCAAGAAACATGGCGACGTTTATGTACATCACATCAGTCAAAATAAAAATCAAAATAAATTATGTATGTATATTTAACACATTAATTTTGTTAAAATGGAAAATTCAACTATGTTCGCATTAGATCTTGTAAAATACTATTGTACCAATATAACTTTCTAATTAAGCATATTCAATATATCTTGTGTAAACTTTTTTTTTTGCTTCTAATATCCATATTCGAAAATATTGTATTTTATATTTTACTGTCTAAATCTTACATCACAAACCTAACACACGTTAAACTCTCCATTACTCCCTACTTAACACACCCTTAATTCTTGTATTGGTCAATAATCTAGTGACGTCAGAAATGTCAGATATTTCAATCGGTACCATACACAGTAATAAATTTAATATTGTGTTCACGAATTGTGAGCAGTTTTTTACAACACGTCAAAATGATGTTTTAAACTGGAAACTGCAGATCTGAAATAACTGGTGATCAAAGTATTGCATCAATGATTATACGTAGGCCCCTACCTTCCTTATCTTGCCTTTTACAGTTATGATAAAAGTTAAGATAACTCATGAATTTCTGTAACAGGAAAATTTAGCTGAAACGTTTTAAAAAGGGCTAATTTGAATGGATCAAAATAGTATAACCTGTATGGTGAATTGATTCTATTTCTTTTTTAACTACATGTGTGGTCATCCATAAATGGTCTCACTTATTTCGCCGATTAACTGCCCCCCCCCCCCCTCCCCGCTGTCACACATCGTCACAGAAAGCCATCCCGCCTAAAATGACGTCAAAACATCAGCTTACACCCTCCCTCCTCCCCCCCCCCCCCCACACACACACTTAAAAATAAAATTGTAGTTGTTTTTTTTTAAACATATATTTCTTTTTAAAATATTGACTGAACTCTACAACATAGAGTAAGCCTATACTAATCAATTTCTATTACAATTTTTTTTAAACAGTTTTTAAAAAAGCAAAATAAAAATAAATAGCAAGCTTTTAAATGCACTGAAAACGAGAAAATAAAACGAACTTTCTTTGATAAAAGCTTTGTTTACTAAAATATGTAAAGAGATAATAAATTATGCACGTTATTTCTATTTTCGTATTTTCAGTATATTAAAAAAAAAGTGTTGTTATAAAAGTCTTTATAGTTGTTTCATTTTTTTTAATTGTGATTTTATTTACCATGGAAAAGGTGAAGCAGAGTGCACGTGTGTCGGTGACCTCAACAAATAATGAGATAGTGGATGTATTTTGGAGTAATTAGTAATTGTGTTACCAAATGCTCCATTGAATGAGAACTATTAATTCGGCAACGCATCAAAATAACGTTTAAATTATTGCGTTGGATAACGAGCTAGCAGTGGATATAATCTAAAGTGTAGGCCGCTACTGGTCAGACAATGAACTCAGTGACTGTAGAATTTCTGTGGATGGTCAGGTGTTTCAGGCCAGTCGCTTCCATCTCAGCGCTTGTTCAGAGCTGATGAGTTTTGTTGCTGCAGCAAGGCTTAGTTTACATCAGTTACCGCATCATTTGGGTTTTACATGACTCTTTATAAGGAAAATGACGTAGATTTCGTGAGTTACTAAGGGACTAAATCTGTTTGAGAATGAAATTGATGTTGTAAGTAATAATACAACAGTAATCTCCCTTTAATAAAAGTATTTGATCATTGTTAATATGTGGATGTTTCTAAATGTGTGTGATGTAGTTACATGTAACTGAATGTGTCTGTGTGTGGAATTATACGGGTGAGTGCTTTATTGATGTGTCTGTATGTATTTCTTTGTGTGTGGAGTTGTGTGGCTATGTGTATGGCCAGTACAAGCTAATCACAGCATCGCCATTGGCTGGTGGATGCAATAATGTAATACAAATTGTTGCAACGAAAAACATATCCTAGTTTATAAAAGGCCATGTGCGCTCTTCTCTCTCTCTCTCTCTTTCTCTGTCCGCAAAAAATTTTCGCCGGACATCACGTCAGAATCGGCAGCGGTATATGGAGAACTTTTTACGGACTTTTGTTGAAAATAATATGTTAGATGTTTTAAATGTATAACCACAATTTTACTTAAAGAAGAAAAATAAAAATTAAAGGCGTATTCGAATGTAGAGAAACAGTATTATTTATGCAACCGGAAAAGCATTAATATATGTGAAAAAGAACGCATAAAACTGTGACGTCACTATTGCTTATACATTAACTAATGACGTCATCTGCCGTGTTAAGAATGAAAAGAAATGAACTATTTCATTCAAATTTGATTTAGACCTACGTACACTATGAAATGTATACAATACAATTTTTCCGGCCTAAACTCATAAAATTTATTTTATGTATTTGGATTCTAGATCTAGAGATTCTAGATCTAGACTAAATCTAAATCTAAATCTACGCAATAACTAGATCTAGACGTAGACGCTAAGATCTAGATTTAGACTCTAACTTCTCTAAAATCAATTCCAAAAATAAATTTCTATATTAGGACTAAACTATTTCAAGACTTATTTATTTTATACAAAATCTTTGTTTGGAACTGGCTAATTTGGGATAAAAAATTAATTTGAAAGAATAGGCATATTCGCGTAAGTTAAGATTTTAAAATACGTGTTTCATTCTCCGTATTTTATAAGGTGCCTAAATAGCGGAGATGTTAGTGTACATTAAACCACGCAGGTGGTGCGGGTTCGAGACACAGCAAGTCAACTTGGTTAATGTATTCTTTTTTATTATGCTCGGGCTAAACTTAAAAAAAAAAATTCTTTTAGGAATCTAGATCTAGATCTAGATTGTCGGGTGTCCGATAGGGCACTTCCCGGCGCCGCAGGCGCTTCAAATTTGGCATGATCTTGCCTTGGTGCGACAGAACACGGGGGCCGGTTGGCCGAAAAGTCTACGATGTGGGGGTCAAAACTGACCTCGACTGACCGGTACCTTATATGAGCTATAAATCGAAAAAAAATGTCCACGGAGGAACCTCTTCATAACTCTTGAGGTCGTAGACCGACCTTCGGGCGAATTAATTAAGCATTCAAATTCTCAATGTTTTCGAAAGCCTAAGCGAAGCTGGGCAGCATGCCTAGTGTATAATATTTGATCAACTCACTCATCAGCAAAATTATAATTACCTCCCTACCCTAACATAATTTTTCCTGATGTCTTAACCTTGCTAAAACACGTTTTAATTATCACACCATGCTATTTTTGGTATATTTACTGTCGACATTATTGTTAAAGTCCAGGTAAAGTACAGTGAACGTTTCTCTAACCTGGACATACACAGTACTGACATATCGTCAGTATTTTTTCTAGACGTCATTCCCTGAATCAGGTTTAGTTCCGAAAAGATCTGCGTGGCTTCGAAGGCGCTTTACAAACACATTCTCCTGAATCGAACTCGAGATATACAGGTTAATAATCTTGCAAGCCACCTCTCAACCATATTATTATCTAACCCTAACATGCGAGCAGGCTACAAACTAAATTGCTATTTGAAGTAGATATAAAATTTTAACAATTCCATAAAAGAAATATCGCATAGACAGATACAATTCTAGCTATGTGATCATGAACACACGTTTCTGCAATTAAATCTCTCGCAAACATTTTCATGTCATTACCATAAAGGTAGACAATTCAAAATATGTTCCAGTTGTTTCATTACCTCCCCTTGTAAACCATACGTTTAGAGAGAAAAAGTTATACTTTTTCAGGCTAACATGAGACGTTTAAATTAATAGATTGTGTGGTGATTTTAAGCAAACAAGCAGACAAACGTTTTCTGCGTAAAAATATGTAAACTGTATCAAATATATTAATACTATATTGTTGACAGTATAT